GCTAGTAATTATCCGCACGGATATTCCCAGATAAGCTTTTGAATTCTTCTCTCCTTGATTTATCCAACTTTTTATCTACAATGCTTGCTCAATATTATCATTAATGAAAAAAAATCATGTTTCTGTAATAATTAGCGGTAAAGGGAATTAAGTTTTACAGAGGAGGAAGAAAATGGTCATGTCACAATCACAAGTAAAATAAAAACCACATAGGTGTTAGTAGAAATACAATATTTCTCTTTTCGTTTATCGCGGTAGTTTTATATATCCTCGCTCCGCATGTTTACACTACTAATGAAATATCCGACTTTTTATTAGTAGCTTACCCTATGTTAGTTCTACAATACTCGGTACAAATAACAGCTTGCAAGAGTCGACCTCCGCGACGGAAAGAAGTCTGCCCCGTTAACCTACATATTTGCACATGCGATTTGTTTGTTATGTTAATATTTTGTTACTTTAACCAGAACCAATGCAATGTCTTGAACAAACAATTGTTATTGTTACAAATTGACGAATAGCGTTCAATAAATTAAGCCGACCGTTATATTTACGTATGATCATCATCTCTTCATCTTCAGTCTCTTCAGGTTACAATAAACTAAGGTCCACGATTTTTATAAATCTTAAACGAACGTTTTTGAATAAAAGGTAAAGGTTAGTCCTAAAATGATGATTAGTTGAATATGTAGGATGTAAGTAATGAGAATGGTTGCGGTCATAGTCATAAGTAGAAAATCGATTTCCATTAATTGACGAATCTCGAGGGAGAGACTAATAATTAATTCAATGGTTACGAAACAAGCGAGTGATCTATTCCAGCTAACGAAGTTATACCTTAGTTCTAGCTTTGTTACAGCATGGTACCGCCATGTATCTAGGATTCTGCTAACTTGGTCCTGTTCTAACTAAAGTTGTCAGAACTGTGGGGAGATTTTGTAATATGAATATTCATTCGTCGATTATCGAGCTTGGAAATTACATAAGTAAGGTCAGTTTTAGTCCAGGTTTAACTTTAGTCTAAGTTTTGTTATAAGGCGGTTGGTATTTATTAAAAGCACTACACTTAAAAACGCTTTTTTTAATAAGGCAATGTTTTCATCGTATCGAGGCTTTTAAATGTCGCTCAGAAAAACTTACTGTGCATTAACGTTCAAAGAAGAGCTTTAGAGGTAAATTGTATTGCGTTATTTATTAGTTGAGACCCCGCAGGTTGCAAACTTTTATATCGGCCAATAGTTTGATCTAGTTGAACTGCAAGCGCGCTTAAAGGGCTTACTTAACTGATTAAACTTTAGTTAGGATGCTATCATGTTACATTATGAAACTTATTTATAGGCCAACATCAAATTAGTAGAATACGCGCTGCGCACTCTTTTGTATTATCTTCAAACTGCAATATAACAATCGTAGGTACATTATGGTCCTTACTCACATACGGTATTTATAACTCGATAGTTTTACTCTAAAGCAAGTAAAATCAACGCGTCGCGTCTCAAGCACGAGCCTTTGAGCTGTGAGTTTTGCGCTTCAAGCGTTTAATTTTACTTGCGTAAACTTACTTTTACTAGAGTAAAACTATAGACAAATAAATATCCTATGTGAGTACGAACCATTACGGAAGGTTTATATGTCTGTGGAGTCTTGTGCTGTTTTGCATTCGAAATTTGATATATAAGGCTATAGCGACCTCCTTCACTTAATTTTCATACACGATTACAAGTTGTGCTTATCTGCATCTATCGCGTAAAAAATATACACACAGCGCAGTGAGTTTCATGTTAAAAAATATTACTTATAGCAAAGTAAAAATTACATTTAAATATTATACCTAAAATTAAAGAAGTTTAAAGGGTGTCATAGGATATAAGACGTAAAAAAACTAATTTCTGGCCCCTACGTCTTAAAAAGTCCAGAAGTTCATCGTTCAAATAGTAAATAAATGTTTTAGCCTATCCTAAAAGATTGCACGAAATAACTCTGCATCATATTGTAAAATAAAAAAAACCTTACCTGTTTCGATATTCTTATAATATGATGAGTCTCCAGACTTGGTGATAGAGATAGAATTTTTCTTTTTTAAATAAGAACTGGAAAATTTTACATCCCATTTCTGATATAATTTTAAACAATATTTTGATCATTGCATGCAGGGAATGAAACATTCGACACTTTGACGGGTAAAAAAAGTCGGGTGAATATTGGTTGTGGGGGCGCGCCGCAACACTTCATATCAAGAGTCAATAGTCAATTCACTATTCAAATAAAGAATAGTGAATGAATTGAAAAAAGAAATATTGGCATAAAATATGGAAACGTTTATTTGACTGCGGTTCACGGACAAGTGATTTCAATAGAACACTATTTATGATTATCAATACTATTTTCATTGGTGAATTAGATTTTGTAAATAGTTAATTTTTATGATTTTCCGACACTAAAAATCACCTACCGCTTCCAGATAAATGAAGAATTTATTTGTTACTTAGGTTTTCCGCACATCACTCATTAAATAAAACAAGTTTCAACGTGTTAAATGCGTTAATTTATTTGTTTCTTGACGTTTCGCGCCGTCATAATCCGACGCAGCCTGAAAAGTATGCGTAATAAATGAAGAATTCAGAAATTTTTATGTATGGCTATTCAATTGGCCATCCTATGAAAATATATTAATTTTTCGAAGTAATCTGTCACTTACAATTTCTTGTATGAAAACAATTTTACTGTTTTTTCTGAAAAGCGGATTGGTGGGTGACAATAGATCCAGTGCGGATTGGTGGGTTATAACGGACTCAGCGCGGATTCGTGGGTGATAACGTACCCAGTGCGGATTGGAGGGTGATAGATAACGGACCCAACGCGGATTGGTGGGTTATAACGGACCCAGCGCGGATTGGTGGTTTTTTTTCTATCAACAAATCTTCAGGTTAAGTTTATGATTTTCAGATCATTGAAGCTAAAGAAGTTTCACTGCAGTCGTGTGGTCATAAGCACACTCGCTTTGATTTATTTACACCAGGTCTATTATTTACATTCTCAATGACGGAAACGGAAAATACAGCACAGCCCAGTGACGTATTTCACGCAATTTAAAAAATATTTTTGAAAGGGACGTAGTAGATTCATGTAATAAAAACAGAAGAAATGGATACAATTAATAAAAACAGTAACTCTCGTATACATTCGGAAGATCTGGCAACGTTCTGCCGCCCTATCCAAGTGGAGTCGTAGCGAAATCGTTATGCACAATATACATTATCGTCACGTTGTAATAAATCAATGAATTACCACTTGACAGGTCAAAATCCTAATCACGAGTATGACGTTCGATAATGATGGCAGTCTCATGCTTCACCCACACCTGGGGGCCAATCGCCTAACGGAAATGCGCCTAACGGAAAACGCTAACGCTTACGATTTTATTTTGTTATTTCTAGCCGCCTGAGGTATTCAAATGCCTCGCGCTCTTTCTTTTTCTTTTGCATTGGTAATAACAATATTAAACAAAATGAGCGTGAGGTATTCGAAAACCTCAGGCGGCTAGAAATAACAATATAAAATCGTAAGCGTTAGCGTTTCCCAAAGCATTTCCGTTAGGCGATTGGCTCCCTGTACTATGAAGGTTCGGGTGGCTTTGGTACTAAGAAAATTTGCTAAAAATTAGCGTTTGAAATGTAAGAATTTATAATTTTTACCTTAATAGTTTGCTGCTTTGACCATACGTTTGTACACTATATTACAATGAAATTGTAAAACATCTATTGGTTTATTTTTATTAATAATTATTAAAATTGCGTTCATGTAAAATTTATTAGCAAAATAACTATTTATAATTTTTTTATAATTTTTATTATTTTTAAAGCATGTAACTGCTTGATTTTTTTCTAGTTATATTTTCTTTAGATTTAAAAATAACTATTTATTTGTTTTTATATTGTTAATTATAAGGTGTATTAAATAAATCTATCTTCTATTTTTATATAAAAGCACGAATTTGACACCGAAGAGGGTAGTTAGTGCTAAGTTTTAGCTGAATAAAGTGGTGAAAAGACGTATTTATGTGCAAACCGACCCCCAACCAACAGAAATTTGAATTAGTTCTCTCGTAATGAATTGACAGGCTGCGTAGATGCTAGACGACAGCTTGACTGTCGATAATTTGATATGCTAAAAGAGGTTGTGGAAATCGAAAAATTTCTATGTGCAGCTGTAAGAGCGCACTTAATTCAAAGTTCGAACTCAAATTTTAGCTCATTTTAGTACCAAAGTCATCCAAAGCTTCGTTACGCAGTTGTGGGATAAGAATGATATAATAAAGCTGTTTGTTGACACTCAAGACAGCCAATGTCGATAAATAGTTTTGTCATAAGGGTAAGTTCACACCGAGACGCGACGCGGCGCGACGATGTGAGCACATTTTAATAGAGCGACTCAAAGTATACTTTATTTACTACACAATAAGACACACTTCCTTTTGAGAATTCAGAATACGTAGTACCACGCAGCACTGGGCCTCTAGATGCCTCGCGGCGTAGCGCGACTTATCACGACGCAGCGGTGCATCGCCAGTACGCGCGGCGTTCAAGAGCGTTGTTGCGTCTCGCGAATCCGCGCGACGCCGCGAGGCGCAGCCTGAGACCGCTGTGGCGACTTCTCTACTATACTACTACATTGCGGGTAGGCGCGATCGGGGCCGTCGTCCGCGGCGAGTAGACACGTTCCTCTGCGCCCCGCGGCATATCGCTGCGCAGCGAGGCGTCGTGCTGCTACGATTTTACGATGCGCCTCGGGATATAGTGATGCGTCTCGCGGCGGCGCGCCGCGCAACGCGAAATCATTAGCCTCTTCGAGTGTCGTTGCGTTGCGTCGCGTCTCGGCGTGAACTTACCCTAACGCGTCTTGATGGTCATGCTAAGGTGTAGCCTGCAGAAAATCTCAAAAGGGGCGTTTGGTTGTAAACGCCCCTTTTGAGATTTTCTTGTTCAACGTTGTTGTTGCAGAGATGGAGTACAGTTACGAGGAAGAGGAGGGCAGCGACGTGGACAGAGAGAGAGACAGGGAGTTGAGGCCGATCGCGCGCCGCACCGCCAAGCACATCGCCGCCGGAGAGGAGCGCCCGCGGACCAATTCCAGCCAACAGACCACGCCCACTGAGGGTAAGTGCGATGCTGCTCCTTCACTAGAACTATCATTAAGAACTCCGAAAAATCTTGTCAAAACCTGGTCTTTATATTAAAGCCAAGATCACAAAATACAAATGGGGGTATTGTGTACTTGTTAGTACAAGTAGGTGTCTCTACGTGGATAGAGACAGGGAGATGAAGCAATCAGGAAACCTGAACAGAGAGGTGTAAAATAGTACGTATATGACACCGCACAGCAATCGGCTAAGTTTGTATCAAATACTTATCGACTACATTGAGAATATGAAGCTTATGGCCAGGAGAACCTTTGAGGCATTTGCACGTTGGCAGTGAAAGGCAGTATAGAAAAGATGTTTTTGCTGGCGGAGTGGTCCAATTTAACCAATGGAACTTTTACATTTTTAGCCTTCGTAAGCGCAATTCAGGATTTCTCGCCGTCTGACATAGTTGCGTGTTTTCTGTGTTTACAGCTGCGAAGTTCAACATAAAAGATAACAGCCACTTAAGAATATTTTGATTACGTAATCGGATTTTTGCTACTCTATGTTTGTGTAAAACAACAAACCTTTTTTTAATTAAGAGGTAGAAAAATAAACAATAAGACTTGTTATCGTCGAAATGTTAATACTATGAGTAGGTGTTGTAAGTTCGTTTATAATTAAATGCGAATTATTTACAAACAATTACAAATTAATGAACAATACATTTAAACAAAGAAATAACAAGAGAAATGACAAGATAAACAGTGCCTACAACGGATCTTGCAGTAACACTTAGCAGAAACATTGTCTCCGTTATATTAACTTGATAATGTTAAAATTTCCATGTTTCAGTTTAAATAAGTAACATAATTTATTTAAACTAAAACATGGAAAATTATATAACAAGTTTAATTGAAACCGTTATATCAACTCTGTAAATAAATACTTATTATATTAACTAACTATAATTAATGCTATTTAATTTCGTTTTTATCATTTTTTGTTGTTTACTCTGTTCGTTGTCTTCCGTTTTATTTTCTCTGCACCTTCTTTCCGGTTGACTGGTAGAGAATGCCATACTGGCATTAAGTCCGCCATTGGCATTGTAAAGGCAATAAAGATTAAATAAATAAAATAAAAACACAAATAACTTTATTAGTTACTTCCAAATGATTTCAATTTAATTACAATAAGCATAGTTATTTATAATAAGTAGTATAATTATGTAAAATAAAAAATGTTTAATCGATTTATTCATTCATAAAAATGAATCCCTGTTTCACTTGGTCATGCTATAAAGTCTTGAGAAGTACTTAATCTCATTCATCCATCTTTTTTAAGTTTTATAGGAGGTACTTTGTAGAAGTTTCTTACGGAAAAAAAATAAGAAAATTTTGCAAAACCAAAGTTAACAGGGACGAATTAGCGGGCTAAAGCTAGCACAAAATAAAAATAAAAATGAATCTTTAATGTTGTGGGTATACATTTTGAATTTAGGCAATATCTACTTGATTTTTTACCAAACAAAGAATCAAATTCAGTCGTCTGTTCAGAATTTTTATCACACCTTATATTGTGAAAAGTTCCATTTGCAAAATGTTTTGCTCAATTTTTCCTTTACCTCAACAGTAAGTAGAGCTCGAGTGTTGTTTCTTTTGCTTACATTTCTTGTTATTAGCACTTTGATCCTGATATTTTATTGCTTCAATACGTTTTCGTACCAAGCCAATAAGTTGGATGTTTGTCGAATCGTAAATTTATATAATTTTACTTACTAAATATATTAGTTATGGACCAAGTGATTAATGCAGGCAGTATGAATAATGCCAGGGCAGTATGAATAATGCCCAACCGAATCGGGCCAAGTGATTATTTGCAATTTAAACTCACCTATTTATCACATTGCCCGGCCATTATTAATAATGCCGGACGGCTCGTGGTCTATATAATAAGTCAGTGTTTGAGATAGCTTGAATTTATCGCTTGGACCGGGCAGTATCAATAAATTCAAAACGTTGGTACTATTGTCAAAATGACAGATGTCTCGCCATTTTGTGTTTGTTTTGAGATCTTGGTAAACAAAAAATAGTATGGGCTCAACACTTAGAAAAAAAGGTAAATGTCGTTTTACAAGTCTTTAATTCAGAACAGACTTGGTCAACCCCGACACGCCGTGGTCTTGGTCTGCCCTACCCCTAGAGTGTTTTTTAGAGCCCGGAGGCGCGGTGGGAGAGCAGCCCCCGCCTGCTGTGACAAAGCCGCAAGAATCGTGCGCCCCGTAGGTGGCGACCAACAAGCCGAAGGTGTGAAGGGGAGTGATGCTTGTGACTTTGTCACGCAAAGGCGGAGGGGCTGCTATTCCCGTTCTTACTTCCCTAGTCCTTGCATCCTAAAAAATAGGGAACTATAAATTCTGAACATTTAACAGATTTGATGAATTTTTCAAACAAACTGCATTGAAACTACTATATAGACTATAGTTTCTAAATGTAGCCTTTCGTAAATTTATCGAAGTAAAACCGAAGTCTGATTATATTTTTAAAAATAAATACTAAACGATAAAACATGTTTTTATTATTACTCTACCCGATAATTGATTACATTACTTGTAATGCTCAGTCTATCTAACTAAGTATACATTTGAAAGTATTAAACATGCTTTAATTCACTGCCCAATAGACACTGGGCATTATTCATAATGCCCGGGCAATGTGATATATTGATTGATTATAATCACATTGCCCGCTCTTATTGGGCGTTATTCATATTGCCCGGGCGTTACAAATAATGTCCGATTAATCACTTAGCCCATAACATATACATTCCATTCTAGATAAACTATTAATATTGAAATTAACTTTTGAGGCAAATGAACTGGTAGCTCAATGACATCAGTAATCAACCTATTATTAATGTATACCTATGTCCAATGCTCTACTGCGGTCCCACTAGAATAACGCTGAAACTGTTCTTAATCAAGCCACTATTAATATTTGCGCAATAATAACATTAAATAGCGAAAAGGTAGTATTCATTAACATTTTTATATTATTTCTGATGTTACGAATCCGTAGTTTCAAAATTTTGCAAGTTGAAAACGCCCTCGCCGCACTCCGGAAGTGCCGACAGAAGTCAAAACTCAAATCTCAAAACTAAAGAAAAACTATGCAAATTTTAACATAAATTAATTAAAAAAACACCTCAAAAATGCTTAACGCGCCTAAAAAAGACTTCAGTTAAAAACAGAACAAAATTAAAAAAAATACGTGTGGCACTCGGGGACTGCCGCGCTAATGCAATTATAAATATTTATATATTTAATTTATGCAGTTTTTTTTTTCTTTGATATTAATTCAAGTTACACTTTTTGTGCGTGGTGACCGATAAGAAAACATATTTTTTTCTTTTATTGAATAAATGAGAAGTTATATTGTTTAAAATATTTTTATAATCTTACATGCGAGCTTCGTACAGTCGTACCGTATACATGCACGTTAAGGTTCAACTAGTCGCAGGCTTGAACTCACTCGTGGATGCGGCTAAAAAGCACGCAGTCTCACCCAGCATTGTGTCTAAAACAGATAAAATCAGTTATGAGCAGTTAGCAGCTAGTCTACACGCATACGTCTAGTCGCACGCACACAAACACCGTGCCAAAGTCTGCCAAACTGAAACGACGTTAGACGATGCACGGCTTTCAACGCCGCACCGCTGTGCCGTTCGGAGTAGGGGGTGTTAAAAGAAAGAAAGGAAGAAAATAATTTTATAAACCCTTAAAAAATACAACATCTTAAAAGAAACTCATACGGTAAGGTCTAACCAGGACCCTGCCTCAGCGTTAGCTGATACGACATTGTGTCACGCCAGCGCTGATATTCTAGCAGGGCCTGCTAGTTATATAAGCTAGCGGATGGCGCCCGTAAGGCGCTCGTTGAAGAAGACCCGAGGGCCGCCCCCCACGGCGGTAGCCGGCGGGTCGCCCTTATCAGCGATGTCCGGAGCGCCGTCTTCCGAATCCGCGGTCGGGGGGCCGCCCTCCGCAACAGTGACCCTGCGGCGCACACGCGCTGCCGTCAATAGGTCGTCGCGCAGTTGGCGGCGCGCCAGGCGCACCACCACACAGCGCGGCCGGCCCCCCGCCTCCTCGGGCGGCGCGCCCACACGCTCCGCGAACACTACAACCCGCCTGTCGAGAGTCACTCGCAGCCGCACGGCCAGCATGGTGACGCTCTGCTTCACGCTGACGCCCCTCTCTTCGGGCAACCCGCTGATCTCCAGGTCTTATTTCGGTGTTTATATAAGTATGTTTATAACCTTGTTAATGGGCTTTTTCGCTGGTTGCCATATTAAAATTGTATGGATATACTTCAGCCTTTCAATTGAACATCCCACCGCAACCAAAACTTTATTCAGGGGGTGTTAGGTTCATTTTCGTTACCGAGTAACTGCGGGTTACTTTGACCTAAAATGTGCACTTTTTTCAAATAAAACTGTAGCTCTTCTCTCTCGTTCGTCTCTTTGTGATGAATATGTCACGTTTATATCTTGCCATTGTGAACTTTAAAGTACAAGTTACAAAGTTAACATACAAAAATAGGAAAAAATAATATTTAAGGGTAATTATATATTTTTTTAATTTTGGGCCAAATTTGGCCTTTAAGAGGGTTACTTTAACTCGTTGAGTTTTCTCTGTGAAAAATCTCATTTTAAGCCATGTTGGGGTTAAGTAACCCTTATAACAGATCACCATTAGCATACTGAATACACAAATGGATGTTTTTGCCCAAAAATAATTAAGTTAAATAAAAAATATAACTCGTAATTTAGAAAAAATAGTAAACTTATAGAAAACCACAGTTTTGAGAAAGTTTGCGCATGAACTTGCGAACTATTTTAATTACAAAAAATCCCGCGTTATAATGACAACTTGATACAGGAACGATTTAGGTAAAACAACACTACACTGCGCGCCTATATGGCTATCTATGATTTTCAACTGAAACTATTACGGTCACCCAAGAGATACTGATG